ATCCTGGAGAGAAATATCAGCCGTGCTGCTGCCATCAACACTTTTGTTCATAGATGTTGGAGATGGGCCTGTTTTTCAGTGTAGTCCTGTTTCTCTGACTGCGAACTGGCTGTATGTGCTCTCTTCATCCTCTGACATGGGAGTTGGCTCGGAGCTCATTTGCCTGGCTGTGTGTTTCCTGGACAGGGTGCTCACACTGAGCCTGGTTCTGCTGGAGGTTTCTTCCTGTTAAAATTGAGTTTTTCCTCTCCACTGTCGCTACAAACATTCTTAGTGTGAGGGATTGCCTTCGAGTCAATGCAATCAACTGGTTTTCCTTAGATGGAAAACTTTAAATCAATCTGACTGGATGATCTGTCGAATTGTAAAGTGCCTTGAGATGACATGTGTTGTGAATTGGCGCTATAGAAATAAACTGAATCAAATTACTGATTATGAACATATCTGGACTTTTACCTTAAGCAGGGATAACTTTGCCACATGAAACTTTTTATAGCCCAACTATGTTCAAACCGTTGCGATTTTTTCCCAGCCGCATGCAAACCCACTGAAATATTTCAGCAGAACCAGGATGCAGAATCTGAGCCAGAGGAGCCGCAGCTCTGCTTTTATTTCACTGCTTTATAAGGAAACGCTGCCGACAGATAGCTCTTAATTTACAGTAAGATTAAATAAGCGGCCAGCTGTGTGTGTGTGTCTGGAAAAAGTGACGGTGTAATCTCTGAGCAACCTGCCAGGGAGCTTCCATCATCCTTCAGGGCAGAAACACAAAACCACTACAGCTGCTTGGAGGCTTTATCTCTGCTGTCCGCCTGAATTATGACCGGCGGCCTCTGTTATGCTTTTATTTGAATCCTCCACTTCAGGACGTCTTTAAAGAAACAACAGGCAGACAGAAGAAACAGGAGGACCTGCAGGATTGTTTATAGAGCGCTGAGAGCCCAGTGGAACAGTTTCTGTTATATAAACAGCAGCTAGTATCAGGCGACGAGGATGAAACATGTTTCACTACGAGGTCATTAATTCACGACTCATTTCACTATTACAGCTTCAGCTGCAGATGACAGGCTGCAGTAAAAAAAAAAAAAAAAAGCTGAAATAATAAGAGCAAGACTTTAGAAGTGATAATAACTCAGAATAGGTTCTGATCCGATGGTTTTTAGAGTCTGAGCTTACGTCATTACATAAAAACGAGACATGTTAATCATGCAAATTTAAATACTTTATCACCAGGTGTGTCCACCGTGCGGTGCAGGGGCCCTTCGTGGGCTTTATAACGATGATATGGTTAGCACATTCAATTCAAAACTTCCATAAAAGGAAGTAGAGTTAGTAACCACGGTAACATTTCAGCTCTGGTTGCATCAGCGGAGCTTGTTTTGGACCATCAGGCCTCCGTATGAAATCCATTTAAACAGCTGAATTCAGCCAAAGCCTGCCAGACGTTTGATCTATGGCCCGGCATACCGCGTCAGACCAGCATACCCATAGTCAATATGCATGCGCAAAATATCAGATTTGCGTTTATCCCTTTAGTTTTTTACGAAAAATAGACTTTAAACTACCTCAACGGGCGTGTATCCCTTTAGTCATGTTCAATAAAAAAACAATTAAAAGTGAGGTCGCCATACGCTTAAAAAACATCAAAATGTAAGTAGTTAAATTGCTTTTTGTACATGACTAAAGGTATACGTGTCTGTTGAGGTTGTTTAAAGTGTATTTTTCATTCAAAACTAAATGGACAAACTAAAGGGATAAACAGGTTTAGACTATGGGTATGCTGGTCTGACTGGGTATGCTCATCTCCATCACCCTAATGGATGGAGGACGTTTCTCCATTGACCCACCTTCAAAGATGTCCACCATGTTGAAGAAGGCCAGAGAGAGGGAGGACTTCCCGCTGCCGGTGCGACCGCAGATCCCCACCTGCCAGAGGGAGAGACGGCGCGGTCAATAAGCTGCAGCTGAATTCACGCCGCGGCGCCACAAAGCACACCTGAGTGATGACTAGGGGACGGGGGGTTCAGGGTTTTTTATTTATTGTTATCCCTCGGTTTTTCTTTCGTTAACTAGTTCTGCAGTCTTAAGCCGATTTTAACAATTTTTATATCAAAACATTTAACTTGTTCAGGAGAATTCTTCTATATCAATTGATAAAGATATTTTTGTAGTTTACGTGATATTCAGCTTTTTTTTTAGCAAACTTGCGCTAAAAGTTCAGCATCCTTCAACTTTAAGTACTTCAGCATACTTTCACCTAGAAACACATTTCAACTTTTAAATGTTATTCAAACATTCAGTTGTTTCCGTTTAAGTCAGCTTTTCATATCTTTACCGGTTTTTTGTAAAATTCAAATGTCTATGGGAGGGATTCTTCAACTGTCTGAGCTCTATCTGTTTTTTCCGAACAAATTCTTCTCATTTTTCACTCAATTTACATAAATTATACATCAAAACTTAGAAATTTCTGTCAGGGTTCAGGAAATGTAACCCTCATTGGTGTGATGCTGCCACCGCCATGCTTTACTGAGGGGTTGACGGTGACTTCCTGCCACCCAACGTCTGCGCTCTGAAGAAGCAGGACTCAAATATATTTTCATTTCTATATTAGAGCAAAAGTCATGGTGATTAAAAAATAAATGTTGGTTTAAAGTGGTAGAGAAACAGTTGTTCCAACAACCGTTGCATTTCCGAATTCTCCTGAGTGATGCCCGACTTTACATGAGTGAATAAAGTGAATGTGATTGGTCGATTATCAATGAGGCAGGATTGTTGTGGTGGAAGGTTCGCAAGCAAGGTTGATTGATCTGAAGCATCTTGCTAACCAGTTAGCAACTTAGTGCTAGTAGGTTCCCAATGGGGAATTCCAAGTAGCACTAAATTGGTGAC